AAATAATAAATATATATATATATATATATTCTTCTTATTATACATGAGCTACTTAATTGTTGATTTTCTTGAAAAAAATCACTTAAATACTATGTGTTTTGCTGGTATCTAAGTAAATTTTTGCAAGGAAACCAACAATTAAGTTGCCCAAGTATAATAAGAATATATATATATATAGGAATATATAGGGCCACTCTGTCTATATGTACATATATATATCTGTCTATCATCTGTTTGTCTATATGTATATAAGACAGAATGTCCCACCATTATTTAACTGTGGTATTTGCTAGCATCTAAGTAATTTTCTCAAGGAAATTAACAATTTATGAGTGCCAAAGCATGTAATTTGTGTTTTGCAGAAGAAAGATTTCACACAATTTTTGTAAAGTTTACAAGCAATAAAGTGTTTGAACCAGACAGAACCTTAATCTTTATTATGATTAACTGACTTTTGGACCACCCCTTGTCTATATAGAAAACTTAATTTAAATAATTTTTTTTTTAAATTATTATTCATAACATAAATTAAAGTTTAAAATTTCCTATTTTTTTTTTTTAGAATAATGAATAATTTGAAGAAGTTTCTTTACAACTTTACATCTTTAATAATATTATCTTGCTGTCATTTTGTTTCAAATAAATAATTTTCTCGCTCTTGTTTCATTTAATGAATTCTCTTACGCTTTATTATTATTATTTTTTTTTATTAGTATTAAATATATTCAATAAATAAATGAATCAGAATAAAGTTTAAATAAAAAAAATACTTAACAAAAATTTATTCATAGAATTTTATAGTTTCTAATCCCAGATAATCGAGTAAGAATTTATTTTATAATTTTTATTATGTGTCTTTGTATGAAGTGCATTAATTGAGAATTAGTTTTAGATTTTTCTTTATATTTAAATTAAAAGGCTTTGAAATTACATTTTTTTTTTACATATATATAAATAAAAATATAGAAAAAATTTATAATTAAATTATAATTTTCTTACTAATTAAAATTGAGGAAAGTGTAAATTAATTTTGTACTTAAGTACCAACAAAGATAAACGTTCTTCGTTGGAAGAAAAGAAAAAGAAAAAAGAAAATTAAAAAATTTATCTTTGCAATTTTTAGAAGTTAAATAACTTTGTAAAGTATAAAAATTTCTTTAAATTATAATAAGTTTAAGTTAATTTAAGCCTTTAAGTACAAATACTTTTGTTAATTTTAATTACATTTTTTTTTTCTTATTAAGAGTTAAATTTATACTTATTTTTCAGTAACTAAGAAAAATTTCTTTGTTGAAATTTCACGAATTTTATTATAAATATTTTTTCTTACTTATAGTAATATTTTATATGACTTTTATCTGAAAACTTAACGAGATGCTTTTCACTTTACGAGCGTGGTATTTCTCAAACAATAGAAATAGCAAGATAGTAGTAGCTAACCACTAAAGAATCTTCTCTACTCTTTGCTATTGCCCCCAATCAATTGGCAAAGTAGCAGGCGTTTTGTCTCTTCAACAAATCACCCTTTTCCTTGTCAAGCTATCTTCCGGCTTGTCCTTGCTTGCATCATCTCTTTCTTCCTAACCTTGCTGATGAATTTCACCAACTTAGATAGATGAATCTACCTTTTTTTTTTCTTTTTTTTTCTTTCTTTTTTTTACTTCTTCTTTTCTTGCTTAATTATTTTCCCTCTAATTGTCCAAACTTTCTAAGTAGTTCCTTGTACCGTAAAGTAATATGTCCGAAAGTAAGTAGGGAAATTTGTCATGTTATATTCTTATTCAAGTGCTTTTGCCTTCTTAACTAGCTAACCATCAAGTTTGTAATGAGCTTCATTCTTTATGTGTGTAATTGTGATTGGAAGAATAACTTCTCGAGTGAGAGATTTAGTCTCGTTAACTCCCTGTGGCATTGTAATTAATTTTGCTACAGATGTGATAAGATGGAGCGTATTGAGAAAAGTCGAGTGGAATACTTGAGTGATACCAAATGAATTTTTAGATCCATTTTAAGTTATGTTGCTACACTCAACAATTATTTGCCCTTAAGTATTTTTTTATAAGTAAAAATCTCTCCAAATATTATATTTATATCTATAATTTTTGTAAAATGTTTTTTCATTGAGTTATTATATTAAAATGTTTAACACCGTAAGAAAAAGAATTACTTTTAAATAAATTTTAAAGTATTTACATAACATTTTTTTATAACTTAACGAGGAAAAATTATTGTGACATAGTCACAATGCTCTCGATCTGAAATTATTAACGTCTTGCCCCTGTAAATCATACTTTTCCTCATAACAGACCCACGACGGTCATCCATGTAACTCCGTTCTGGGGAAAATGTTCGAATTGAAATCACGTGACGTCCGGTCTTGACCGGATGCTTCTGTATAGTTAATCAGGGCCTACTACTCCTAAGCTTTCTAAATCTGGTTTTAACTTTCATCTATCAAACACCATTCTCGAGATTAAGGACGGACAGACAGACAACAGTGGAAATTTACAGATCTGCCATTTTTTTCAAATTGCAGTCCAACAAAATTATATTTAAAATTTGAAGTAAAAATTATATTATTTTAATTAATTAATGTCTTAAAATCTTGTACAATATACGTATAAAAAGTGACTAATTTTTATATAAATTCATTTTAATTTTTATGTTTGAAGGATGTTTTATTATTTATTAATGTTTATTTTGTTCCATTCATAGATATATAACTGTAGTAATTCGAGAGTTATACTTGATTTTTACGCACCACTAGCTTTATTGAAGTTTTGTTAGCTTTAGAGAAAGGCTATCAATACCTTAACATTGAAGAGTTGTAGAGGATTGTCTCCTCTATATAGAACTTATATATAATTTAGAAATTAATTTAGTTAATTCAAGACTATTGAAGAGTTTAAAAGAAATTTTAAGAGCACTAGAAGACTTTTAGAAGCTAACACGATTCAAAGACAGAATATTGTTTACAAGAAATGCAAATTTATTCCTGTGGATAGTTAAAAATAGAATTGATGCAGGATCGTTATTCTTTTTAAATTGATTTCTACTAGAATTTGTCAACAATTTTTGAATATTCATTGATGAAGTCTCATAAAGGAAAAGTAGACTGGATCAATATAAATGCTTTAGATGCATTAAAGGATCTTCTTTATATCTTATACTTGTTTGAACACGCATAATTGCTTCAGTTCCTAATTTTCAGGAAATTAAAAGTAAAAAAATATATATATATCCGATAAAATCAAATTTGAAATATTGTCAAAAACAAATTGCAATAGTGTTTATTTATTCAAAACATAAAAACTAATCTTCATAAACGATCGTGAATAGACTCTTTACACATTTTATATACAGTAATTATACTATAATTAATTACAATTTGCTTTCAAGTTTGAAATCAGTTTATTATTATATTTTTTGCATGATTTTACTATAAATATTTCGAGAATTATTTCATACGTAATATTATGGTGCAAAAACTACAAATTAATCAAAATTTAATTTTAAAAAAACTTTCAGGCGGAATTTGGGCTATTTGTTTTGCCTGGCAGCACTGAAAAGAAAATCGTTAGTTTCAAATCGTGTTATTTTGCGGGAAATGAACAGTAAATGTCGATTTTTAATGGAAAAGATTAAGTTTTATTCTTTAAAGAGACATTTTTTAAATGATTTTATTATAATACGATAATGAAGTATTTACGACAGTAAAATTAAATTTTAATTTTTTAAATTTCTATGTGTATGTATTGATTGGAATGTTTATAAGATATGGAAGAAGTAGCTAATCAGAAGAAGAAAAAGAAGAAGGAAAAGAAGAGAAAGCACGAAAAAAATAAAGATATATTACAAGAAGGACTTAAGGAAACCAAAGAAAATTCAGTTTATGAAGAGCAAGTGTACATTGAATCAGTTAAAGATCATGATATAAATAATCAAAAAATTACTAATTCTACTGAAATTATAAAGGATAATGAGATAAGGGGAAATTCTTCTGCAGAAGTTAGCCCAAAAAAATCAAAGAAAAGAAAACATGTAGAACACTGGGTTGAAGATGATGTAAATAATCAGTTACACGATTCAACTTCGAGAATAACTCCATCAAAATCAAAGAAAAGAAATAAAGATAATTTAGTTGAAAATGCCAAGGACAGTGATGAAGAGAAAAATCTTCCAGACACAAGTACAAAATTAGAACAAGATGTAGGTGTTAGTGTGATTGAAAATGTAAAGTACAACAGTGAAGTTAGTACCTTAGAAATGACTTCATCTACAAAAACTAGTCCGACAAAATCAAAGAGAAAAAAGACGGATAAAACTGTTGAAAGTGTGAAAGATATTGGCGATATAAACAGTATAATTGACAGTTCGATTTTAAATTTGAGTCCAGCAAAATCATGTAAGAAACAGGAAATGGGTGATTTAAGTGATGGTGCGAAAGATGTTAGCGAAGTAAACAATACAGTCAAAGGTTCGGCAATAGAAGGAAATTTGACAAAATCAAAAAAGAAAAAGAAGCATAAAAATAAAGATGTATTGACTACTAGTGATTTGGCTGGAAGAAAAGGTGAAATTAGTGATTCTGTATCAAAAACTATGGAAAGTAATAAAAACATTGAAACAAATTTGAATGAAATGAGAGAGCAAAATTCAGAAAATACAGTCATAGAAATAACTGGTGCTAAAAAATCTAAAAAGAAGAAAAAAGACAATGGAGAAAATAAAAATAAAATACAAAATTTTGAAAGTGAAAATTTAAAAAATGTAAATAATGATGCTGTTGAAGGCAATGAAAAGAAGAAAAAGAAAAAGCACAAGAACAAGGAAAAATCTGATGATATGTTGTTTGAATTTGATTGTTCTAATTTAAATAAAGAAAATGTAAAAACTGATTTACAACTGACTGCAATTAATAAAGAAGTTTGGCCAAATTCTGAAAATTTAGATATTATAAGAGAAAGTGCTACAAATGAAGCAAGTTTGGAAGCTGATACTGCGGTAGCTACCAGTAGTTCCAAAAGTACAAAAAAGAAGAAGAAAGACAAGAAACACAAAAAGAAAAATAAATCACAAAAAGACGATACGAGGCATAAGGAAAAACATAAGAAAAATAAAAAGACTAGTAAAAAGAAAGGAAGTAAATTAAAAACAGGTGATGTCAATGTAAATACAAAGACTTCTGTGTCTTCCAATGAAGGACAAGTTGAGAAAGTTGATATTGAACATTTGAGTGATGAAATATTTTCCAATTATGATGATGATGATAATCAGGTAGTTTATAAGTTATATTTAGATAATATAATTTTTTAAAACATAACTCATAGATATTTATAATAATAACATTTAAATTTTTTCGATAAATGATTAATCCATATTTCAGATATTTGTAAAATCCTACTAAGTAGTATCAGAGCACAAATATTTTCAAATTGAAATCTTTGTCTTTGCAAACACAATATTCTTATAAAACTTTCTGAAAAGCTTTCCATATTCAAGTAAGTCAAATGATTTAAATAAAGCAGTTATCAACCAAATCACACAGTCATAGATAGAGATGTAATGATTAATTGTTTGCTAATTGTTAATTGTGGGGTGTATGGGGTTCTTAGAGGGGTAGTAACTTTTGAAAGTGTCAGCCACACTGAAAAAGTGGACACCGTAGACTGTTCCCCATGAGGACCCAACTCTCACTTATGGCTCCAAGTAGTTGGTAGTGCATGCCAANTACATCAAAAACACATGCCCACAAACATCCAAAATGAAAAAATCGCGAAAAAAACTATGAGTTTTGAAAAATTGAATTTTGAACACGAGGGTTATATAGCACCCCGCGCGCACAACTGTGCGTGAATCTTTGGCGCGCTTTACGCAGGGTTAAGAAATAACTTACAATATTTATTCCAGATCAATTTATTATTAATTCTAATTGTTCTAATTCTAATCACACTGTCAGAACAATTGGAACATCACTTATATTAAGCCAGACACACCAAAAATTATACTCTCAATATACCATTATGACATCAGCCCATTTCCATAATGGCCTACATGTGGCTGAATGGATAAAACCACTGAACAATAGTGGGTTCACATAGAGTTACCCTAGTATTCTTCATGTGTCTTACTCCTAAATAGGGGTCAGTTTCCCATGAAATGGCTCCCTTGGAGATATTCTCTTTTGCAGATTGTTCATTTGGTGTGTACTGTATCCCAAAAAAAACCACCTCCACATCCTTCTGTTTCCACAGTTTAAGTCATTTTTCCTAGAGCTTTTCAATCTTTATGAATATTTAAAAATATGATTTTACATGCAAAAACTATCAAAAACAGTTTGTATTCAGGCCTATAGCCAAAATTTTCTTTTGGTAAGCTTATTTCTCAAATTTAATAGTTGACAGAAGAAGGCTGAAGCTAACTGCCTCAGTCATTTTGCTACTGGCAGTAGGCTTCTATTAAAATTCAGAGAGGAGAGCTCCACGAGCCCCTCCCTGTCTACATAGCTGGCTGTAATAAAGAGATACTTAATCATACATTCTTTTGACACAAATTGTTCAGTTCATCTTTTGATGTTAAAGATGAAATGAACTTAAAGATAGATTATGCTAAGCCAAAAATGCTTGGCAAATTGGAATAATAAGTGAGGTAAACTCTAAAAAAATGTAGTTAATAAAGATTTTGTTTAATAGTAGAGTTAATTTTGTTTAAAGTGTTCAATTACTACCTAATTTTTTTGTTTTTTCTATTTCTACTTTTTATGTTTTATCCAATTTTATCTGAAACAAATGCATTATTTTTGAGTTTACTAATCCAAAAATAATTTATAATAAAATTCTCATTTTCATCAACCTTCTTGAGTTTGAATAGTTTTGAAAGTATAAACAATAATTTAAACAAAAAATTTTAATATTTAGTAATCAAAATTAAAAAACATATACATACCACTGGACCAGACAAACCAGTTAAGCCCATTGGTCCTGGTGGTCCTCTCATTGCTAACTAAAAATTAAATTACTATGAATTTTAAATTTGTATTCTTCTTTGATAGTTTTTTATTCTCAAGTATAAAATAAAATAATTTACCATATGCTGACTTAACATCTGTCTTAAACCCTCTGTGCTATCTGGTCCTTTAGAATCACCTTGTGGTTGAATCTATTATAAAACAAAAGACTAAATTACTATTTTAAAATATTTTTATCAATTCTAAAAATAATAACAAGAAATTTTAACCTACAGGAATCATGAATATGTGACCAGGAGGTCCTGGAGGTCCATCTGTACCAGAAAGACCATCTCTTCCATCATCTCCCTACAAGAAAAAAATGCAATTAAAATCACATAAGATAGAATAGCATTATTATAGCTATGTATAATTTTTAATAATATTTACCTTTTCACCTTTAGGACCAGGTGGACCAGGTGGACCTTGGTAACCTCGAGGTCCAGCAGGACCCTTAAAGAGAGAAAAATCTTGTTTGTATTGTTTTTGTATTGAGACAAGGTTATCATAATAAAATTAAAATTACCTGAATATAATAATAATGATAACCTGGAGGTAGTGGACCTTCACCAGATAGACTACTATCCTGTAAGTATAACAGAATTTTTATTCAGTTATATAAACAAAAATATGATTTTACATATTAAAATATTAATTTATACATCTGATATATCTGTACACCATTGATTTAACATAAATCAAACACATAACATTCACTTCATTATCTATTGTCATGTGATAAATATATTAACTCACTGTATTATTATAATAAGAATTGCCATCAGGATAAATTCCATTATCATCTCTATCTGTTATTGGAGGATCTCCAGTCACAGGTTCTGGAAAAATTGGAAAGACAGTATCTTCAGGAGGACCTGTTGCATAAGGCAAAGGAACATCACAGTTTGGCATATATTCCGTACACTGTTCGTAAGCCGCTTCAGGTGTTGGAATGATTTGCAGTTGCTGAATATCTCCCTACAGTTTTAAATAAAAATTTAGTTTAATAAATTATGAAGCAAAAAAATTTATCTGTCATCTTTATTTAAATTTTTACCATTTACCTCATAATTTTCTTTCCCAAAAAGTTTCTGACCAATTAATACATATCCTGTAGCATCTATATACACTTCTTCATCCCTTTGTAACATAGCATTTTGCGGTTGTTGGCAATCACATATCATAGTCACAGAATCACCTTTCACACTCAAACCTAACCTATGCCACCTGGCATAAGTAAGTTAATTTCCATTAATATCATTGTTTATAATATAACAGAAAGGGTGGCCCAAAATTCAGATTACTGTCTTTTTATAAGCAAATCAGCAAAGTTAAAGTTCATAAGTAATGAAATATTCAAATAAGACAGTAATTTAGTCTCAGTAACTGATTTTTGGACCACCCTGTATTAAAAAAAATAGTTGTTTTTGATCATTTAATTCATTCGAAACAGTTTTATATTCTGATAAGCATGTCTTATTCTTAAAAGGAAAAAAATTTTAAAAAAATGAATTCTTGTTAGAAATATAAATTGAAAGAAATTACAGATGGTAGAAAATCTTTCAAGGCTACATTTGATTAATGATTCTTTACTATATAAAAAACACTGCCATTCAAAGATGAAGCAGAAAAAAACCAAATATATTAGATACACCCTAGATCAATGTTAATTACTTTGATTAACAGGAAACTTATTCTATATCTGTGTTAACATGATTTAAAAAAATGATTAATTTACTTAAAAATCTTCAGTTTTAGATTTTTATCAATTTATTTGTAATTTAAGTAAACTGATTTAAGTAAAGAATAAATAATATGGGTGGTCTAGAGTAATTCGTCTTATTAAAATTGTCAAAAAAAAAAGGTTTTTTTTGAAGAGACAAAGATCGATCAAATTTCCAAATGTCATGATCGATCATCATCAAAGGACGTTCTTAAGTGTTTATTCCACTTTAATTTTAATATATATATATGTGTGTGTGTGTGTGTGTGTGTGTGTGAAGATGTATAATGTTTAAACTGTTGCCTTTTTTTGTAAATACCAAGTTTAAGAAAAAAAATAAAGTGAGAAAAAGTATATGAAAACTTTATTTTCTGCTTACTGAGAAACGTCCCCATCACTAATTTATGTACGAAAGACGTTTCTCGCAATTTTTCTCTTCTTTTATGAATGGTTACAGTTCCATATGTTTACATAAAGTTCTCAACATAAGACATTCCGACGACATCTGGTTATTATCTTTATAATATGGGCTAGCAAGTGCAGTCATTTGACAGCAGTCATTAATTCCATCTAGTGTACCTCCCGGATCCTCTACTGTGCAACCAGATAAAAATACATTATTAATCTTTTTAACTGAAATTTTTTTCCTTAATATTTTCGCTGACATCCACTTTAAAAAAAACAGGAAAAAAAATATGTATACTTTCCCACTGATTTACTTACTTTCCATCATTAACTTCTGCTTCAAATGTGACTTCTGCTAAGGTTGGTTTGTCGACTTTGTTCCTACAAGAAAATGTGACATTTTCACCAATTCTGAGGGCCATTTGTTCTTGGCTAACTCCACTATAAAATGTAAATAGATCGCCTTCTACCCCTTGTTCGGGTCGAATCGTTGTCAGGATAGAAAAATCTCTAGGAAAACCACCTGTTAAAGGAGCAAATTAAACATTTGATAACTTAATAAACAATGCCCCATTATATTATTTAATAAGTTTTTATATAAATATTCATGGTTTTTTAATTATTCCTGGATAATTTTAAATTAAGCGTCTGTAAAGAGGGGCCATGTGTTCCGCTATTCTGCATTCTGTACAATAATTTCATCCACTGTAACTGTCAAGGACTCATTTTCTTTAATCTACAACACAAACAAGTTTTTATATCCCAATTCGTTCATTTAAATCGTAAAACTTTAACAGATAAAACCGCAATTTTAACATTAAATTGCTCAAAAATATGGAGAATTTTTATAGCGGATATGACCCACATATCTTTAAGATTAGATATCTAAGCACATTGTTAACAGATGTACAGTTTGGTCGTGCAAAATTATCCACTTCGTAAATATTAGCATATTCTCAACTGTTCTAAATATCCGGTTATTTTTTCCTGTTGAAATATAATCAGTCCGAATGATACTAAAGAAGGAAGAATATTCCAAGATCCTTGGATGATAACATTGTTCAAAGTCCGAAAAATTGCTAACGTATCATTTCCACTCGTAAGACTGATTTTTATACGAAAACTGTGAATATAAATAGAAATAATCTTACTCGAAAATGCTTGTTGGGTGGTGAATGTAAGTACAGATGATTCAGCTATACTATAGGCTACGTCCGATCCACCATACACAACTTTTCCTGCAGAATCTTTCTTGATAGCACGTTTTTCACAAAATCCTGTTGTCTTCTTTATTCCTGTAGCATCGGGATTTTCGGCAGCGATTTTCATTAAATCGGCAGAACCTGCAAAAGAATAGGAATGCCTTTCTTCAATGAGCGAAGAAATAATTAGTTTCAAATAATTGCTTGATTCTTAAACCTTAAAATATGATAAAAACCACAATTGAATTTGGAAGAATGCTTCTGCATAATTAATTTTCCTAAAAAATACATGTTAAAAGTTTTAAAATCCTTTTATTTTTATTAATTTTAAAGATATATGCCTGTAAAAACAGAAACTTCGAGCAAAGGAATGAAAGTGATGGTGTAGGAAGAAAAAGTTCTTCCTTATCCTACACCATTACTTCATTACTTAAGAAGATTAGTAAGGATTTTGCATTATATTACATGGACAAAAGTAGTATAAAATCAATATTTTTTAAAGTGACGAGTGTTTTTAAGCAAGTGTAATAAATAGATCAACCCTTTCTGTGCCAAAGATTGTTAATAAATTAATATTTTACAGGTTGCTCTTACAATATTGTTATAAATAATATAAGCGATATAAATGATCAAAGATTAGATTAATTCAGGACTAATTTAATTGTTATATTCGCATCAATTCCATCTTTGAACTTCACTGGAATTTATTCCAGTGGAACTTCAAGAGCCACTGGAGTTTCGCATAAAAAAATAACATACAAAAATTTTATTGTTTTAGTAATTATTTTAAAATAAACTGCAGAAAAGTTTCAACATAAAAATGCAACAAATTGATTTTTAAATATTAAAATATAAACGTTATTTTAAAAATATAACGAAACACCTATTGGCAATAAAAAATCTCAGGAGGGCCATCGCCACCCTGGATTCGCCTCTCGGGATATAACTTTTTTGTTTTGGAGAGATATTTCCACATTCCCTCCTTCATACACCACAACGATGTCCTTGCAAAGAAACAAAGAAATTTACTTGAATAATATGTATAACTAACCCAATAATTATTTCAAATATAAAACGAACAGCCTGATTCCTTTATCGGGCTATTAAGGCTGAATAATAGTTGTAATTAATAACGATGATATAAATGTGAGCGACCGATATGATTATATCTAAATTATTTAGTCTGAAAGAGAAGATCGGACAAAGGTTCGGATAGCGTAAGCAGCTTGCGGGTTCGAGTACCAGTCTGCCAGAATATTCTAAAATTAATTTCACTTATAATTATTATATTTAACAAAATATGGCGGTTTGTCTCCTGCTAAATTGCTTAGTAATTATTTAGTCTTAACATCAAAATAAAGGAACCCCCGCTGTTTATTTGAAATTTACTGAAAAAACTGGCTCTCCTTTCCCCTATAAGGGTCCAGGTCCCGTTGTTACGGTAATGTCTTTCCCCTCTCATCAGGTCTGGGTCCACCTACGTAGCTTGAGAAGGCAAGGGATGGCTCAGCCATACCTAGAAACTTTTGAGTCATCTCTGTTCGAAATGACGAAATTCTGTTTATATATTTATTTAGAAAGTATAAATAATCAATCCTCTCTTTCCCTGGTGCACTCCATAACTTATAGATTCCGGTAAAGCCATCCCACAATTAGCTAGAACCACCCTTACTACAGTTGGTCTAGCTACGCCCTCGATACACGAGTTTCAGTTTGAAATTCATTTGAAGCTGAAGTTCGCAAGAATGACTAAAAGTACGGCCAAATTTTAAGCCAAAATTGGACTCATTGTCTTGTTACCGTTTAATTTTAAAAAGAAAAACTGATAATTCTTTTTTTTTTTTTTTCAAATGGGAATTTAAAATGTTCCAACAGAATTATCTTTTGGAGAATGCTTCAAGAGATGCTCCAAGAGCATCCGTTCCAAAAGTTTGAAAGAATTTCTATGGTTGATAATTGAATCATTGCTTTTGAAAAAGAGTTGGATAAAATAGGCCACTTAATATATATTATCGATAACGATGACGCGGTGTCTGTAATTGTTGATGGATTTGGTATAATTTGTTCTCATAAATGGAGCATGTGGTATTTCATGAAAGAAAAGTCAGTTGTTCGTTAACATGTCAATGATACATAACCTTGTCAACTGTTACATGTCGCACACGTGGTGTTTCCTGTTCATTGGAAAGGATATCGATAGAATCGCACTCCTACGATTGATGTTTTTTTTATAATTAAATAAATTTTTCGCGTTTTTAACGAGATACTCTGTAGCTAAAGTAAAAAACTGAGAAGTGCTGTATTCAAAAACCCACTTTACAGCACTGGAATTCTATTTTTACTCTTCTATATACTGTATATGAACCTAAAACATCTTTGTATACTGTAAGATTTACATTAATTTGAATCGTTGTTTATCTCTCTTAAATTGGATTTCAGAGTAAAAAAATTAATAATCGAGCATAAAACATAGAATATACAATTTTATAAATAATTATTCATCATTTTTATTCGAAAAATTTCATATAAAACGCGAAAAATCGAGATAAAAACAACTTATTAGCAATAAGTAGAACGTGGCTCTCAGTTAAGATGCATACAACACTGCTAAGAAATTCATAAAAAGCGTCATAATTATTTTAATATAAATTAATACGTTATAATTTTAATAAGAAAAATATGTATATATAAAATCTAACCTGATGGCAAGATACTAGAAACTGGAACAAAGACATGAGCAACGAAGAATATTAGAAGAAGACATTCTCTCCTTATCCTCCACCGCAACCGTTTCAGAGAAGAACCTCTTGTTTTCCAAAATATACACAGATCCATTGAGGTATTAAAATATATACTGTTTCATTGATCCATGAATATATTATTATTGAAAGCAAAACGTCCAACTTCTCAGCAATCCAGTTTGCAGTTCGTACTCGATGCCATAAGCAGCCACTTCGACTGTAGAGAAAACAAATTTTTCCACCCACGCCAAAAATGGGTCTTTACGAATGTGAGTGTTTGCCGTGCGAAGGACAAGGATGGTCCAACGACATTGCCTAATAAACGAGACGACAGCTGCGTTCTCCCCCACTTCTTTGTTGTTTGTTTACAAAAATGACGTCACCTATTTCTAGAAGGGTAAAATACACCTACCTGAGATCATTAAAAAATCTTTCCTCCCCCCAGTTTAGAAGAAAAAATGAAGCATAACTTTTACCTCCAGAGGAGAAGGGAGAACCTCTATTTATACACTTCATTAAATAAATAATTAAAGCCTTAACATAAAACTCAATAGGCACCGACAGTAGAGAAACAGGAACTTAAAAAAATTGTCGAAATTTTTTTATTTCATAATCTCCATTACAGTCACTCCTAATATTCAACCGGGCTAAAGAACTTGAACTGTTAAGTGTGGGAAAAATGTAAGTTAACCTTAATGAGACCTGTCATTGACCCATTGGGATCTTCTTTACGTTTATTTTACTTTTAACCACCATCTTGGAGAAGATACAAGATTATTTCCCAGATGTAAGCCGATCGCTTCCGCATATGATCTCTGCACGATGACCTTCGACCTCCATCCTCCTATTATTCATCCCCTATGCACGTTTGACACTCGCCCCGACTCTTCTCGATTAATTTTTATCGTTCGTACTTTAAAAAAAGAATGAGATCGTAATCAAATGGGTAACTTTATAGTTACTATGTGCATGTATTCACATTCTTCGTTTGCAAACGTAATTAAGTGTAATGAAGGGGTTTAAACAGGGTATTTAAACCCGAAGACATTCGCAAATGATTAAACGATTGATATATTATGGGGTTTATTTTTATTTTAATCGACTTTTTTACTGAATAATATTTTATATATAATTGATATGCTTTTATACATACTCTATATAGTTAATTTTGGCTATTTCATATTTTGTATAGATTTTTTCCTATAATTTATAAAACTATTTATGTGTATTTTCTATAAAACTCGTGTTCATATTCTTGTACTTTTTAAACAAGCTTTTGTTCAATACGTTCAACGAAAAATTATTTATTTTCGTTTTTTCTTTTTTTTCTATTATTTATAGAACAATTATTTTAACAATTTGCACATTTATTCACGTATTTTTTTCTACAAATTCTGCCAGTTTGGTAGAATTTAATATATTATATATTATTATAACAGAATACAATATATAATTATTCATAATTTATATTTGTGTCTATCTTCGTTGTTTTAATATGTAATTTATACGCGTATTCACGTACGTTTTACTACATTTTTCCTATAATTTTATTTTTCACTAATTTACATAGATATTCATTTATTTTCCCACATTTTGTGCACAGATTTGTATGTTATATCTACAGTGTATTCTCGCGTTTATATATACATATAATTACATATTTTTCAATCATTTATATACCTATTTCTCTATTTTTAAAATGTTTTATATTTATCCTTTCTACAATTCTTACGTTTATTCGTACAAAGTTTCTACAATTAATGCACCTTTTCATTATTCATGCTCACATTCATATGCTTTTTATACCATTCATGCTCATACACACGTGCTTTTTCTACATTCATTACTAATTCATACATTTTTCTACATATACATTAATTCAAATATTTTTCTTTAATTTAAAACCAATTTTTTTTTCTCGTTTACTTTATTTTCTTTTATTTTTAATAATAATTTTTAGTGCTCCTGTCCACGTTTCCTCTAATCGATGCTCCCGATTTTCATAGACATTTTGTTTTATTTTTAAATAATTTAGTAGTTTTTTTAATATAAATTTATTTGTTAAAAGATAAAAATAATTGAGTTAGGGGTGAGAATTTTCGATTTAACACATCTGTTTAACGTTTGTCTTAAGTGAACGGAAATGTACCCACATCAAGCGAAAGTAATTTGGCCCTGAAAAGTTTCGGTAATAATTTCTTCTTTAAATGAAGGTCCCTGGCCTAAATATTAACAGATATTTTCCCTAGAATTTATATTCATTAAATTTTTTAAAAATCTGTCAAGAAATTTTATTTTATTTTTTTTAATTAAAAATAAAATGACGACATTTTTTTTCTTTTTAATTGATTAAAATTATTTAATTTTATTCTTCCGTAAGTAATTTAAATATATTATTTAAAAATAGTTTTAATTATTTTGATAAATTATAATTACTTTTTTTTATAAAAATTTTATTTAACTTTT